CCCCAAAACCCCAAAACCCCAAAACCCCACCTGTTGAACTATTGCAGAAATAATATAGTAAAATTCATGAAAAGCATTTATTTACAAGATATTCCAGAGCATTTAAATACCCCTACTTAACTAGATTTTTCATTGCCTTCAACAGCAGTCCCTAATAATCTCAGACTAAGTCCTTAAAAATAATCTCAAATTAAAGATAAGTTTGGAAAAGAACTAAATATTCTGAATAAAGAAAAAAGGTAATGCAAAAAGATCAGCAAGAAGTTAATACACACAGATGCATTGAGTAAATAATAAGTGAAAAAGCTTGTATAAAAATTGCCAATCAATAAGCTTGGACCATCATTAATACCATTTGCAGTTCCTAAAAAGTTCTTATCACCATTTAAAATATTCAAGAAGATGAAGCTTAAGGAATTGAGCACTGATCCTGAGAAGTCAAAACTCCCATTTTGGGAAAAATCCAAACTTTGTAGTAAACTGTGGTCTGAACTCCAGCCAGGAGATAAGGCAATATACATATAGAGTGCTAAGTTATGTAAAGAGCAGTATGTTAAGGATTGGAGTGGGTAGAAATTACCCTTACTCAGAGGAGGGAGAGGTAAATCAGCTAGAGATAAAACCAAACCAGAGCCTATAATGTCGCCTTGGAGAATATTTGTGAAAGAAAACACACCCATACTTTAGAATGACAACCCTGATCTTGAATACTATGATATCAAACGTATGCTTGAGGACATCTGGGCTGATCTGGATGAAGATTAATTGAAATATTATGATGAAAAATCTCGGGATGACAAGTGGCGCTTCTTAGAGGAATGGGAGGCTTGGCTTCGCTAAAGATTTGCTAGTATAGTTCCTATTTAACCTGATAAGTTCCCAGCCCCTCCTAAAAGACCAATAAATGGATTCAAAGTATTTGGAGAGGCACAAAAAACTAAATTCCTAGACATGATGCCTGAAAGCTAACAACATGAAATAGCAGGCCTTGTTAATAGAATATGGCATCAGCTTCCGACTGAAATTAGGTAAGACTTTGAGGAAATGGCTGAGCCTGATAGAATCAGATATCGCTAACAGTTTAAAGATTACTAAGACAAGTATGTCAATATATTCAAAAGGACTGATGACTAGTCAAAGATGTTTATCGAAAAGATTTAATGCCTCTAGTAGTAAGACATTTAAAAGTCGGATGTTCCAAGCACTAATTGTGATGATGAAGAGTAATAGTAATCAGAGATTTTTCATTCAATTAGTGACTAAGTAATTGATCAGATTCTTAACCTAGAAAAGGATGCTGTTAAACTCATCAAGCAAAGTCGAGTTTAGCAAAAGGAAGAGCAGAAACGCAAAATAAGTAAACTCAAACCTCCTAAGTACAAGCAAAGGACAATATACAGTTAGCTTGTTGAAATTTAAGAATTATAGGAAATTGAAACTGCCTAAAAAAACTAAGCTCAAAGTGAAAACATAGAAGGTACGCTGAAAAACAGAAAGTATAAAAAGCGAGTTCAGAAAAAGTTATTCGCTGAGCACGACGATGAAGAGGATTACCTGCTGACTCATATGGCTGAAATTATCAGGCAAAACAAAAAAAATTAATCTCGATCATCTGACAAATAACCTGAGTAAATAATTATTGAAGATTTGGAAAAATCAGAAATACAAGAATAAACTAACAAAGTATAAATTAATTCAGAAAAAATAAATAGTGATTTGGAATAGGAAGAAACTGAAAAAGAAACTACTAATATATAATCACCTTCAATCTTGAACTTGACACTAGAGAAACAACTAGTGTTCACAGATCCTCTAAAACTTATTGATGATCAAATAACTAATTACACAGCTGAGGAATCTAAGATCACAGCTGAGTCATAGCAAATCTATGAAAATTATTGCTATAGTCTTGATTAAGAAATGGAATTGAATGATGAACAAAATTAGCTAAACAGCAAAATCGATTTGGCTGATTTCTTTGACGGTGAATTTGAAAAGGAAAATGATGAAGACGAATTAATGATAATTGAATCAATAGCAATGTGACTATAAACTCATTTTTATTCGTCCTGTCTAATTAATTTCGTAATTGACTAAATAATAATAAAATATATTTATAAATTGATTAAATATTATTCAACTGAATTGAATTTAAAAATGAACAATTCAAAACCCCTTACTAAGTCATAGCTACTTTAGTCTAAAGAGACACTGAAATCTTCTAGTTCAAATGAGAATTTCAACAAAGAAAACAATTATTGTAAACTTAGATAAGAAAATGATACACTGAAGCATAAGTTAAAGTTAAAATCTAAAGCAGTTTAAATTATCCAGAATAAAGTCTAAACAAAATAGGATTTAGAAAAAATCGCTCAAGAAATTGAAAATCTTACAGAGAAAAATGAATCTCTACAATAAACAGTAGATAATTTACTGCAAGAAAACTAAGTGCTTGGCTAGATTATTGATAGAATGAAGTAGAAAGTGGTATCTAAAAGCGGAGTAGCTGTAGATGAGCTAGAGAATGCCTTCATTGAGCTTAATAAAGAGTATGAATAGCTTAAAAATATGAATCAATTTCACTGGCAAGTTGAATAGGTCAAGAATTAATATGAGATTGAAATTTCATAACTCAGAGACTCCTGTATGAAACTCATTTAAGATGGTTAAGAAAAAGAGATGAGACTAAATTTTGTAAAAGAAGAAAATATAAAGCTTTAAGATTAAAACTCATAGATTAAAGAGCGATGTGAGTTTTATAAAGTCAAATTCATGGATGAGGCAAAGGAGTTGATTAGAGTCAGAGATAGCTTCAAATAAGTGGTTGAGGATAATAAAACTCATGTCTAGTTTATTTAAGTTCTTGAGAAGAGAATTAAGGAATTAGAAACTTAGGCATAGAGTGACATTGAAAAATTGCATCAAAGATTGAATGAGCTGAGACTACGAACGATTCAGGAGACTGCGATCATGCTTAATAATTAAAGCAACAATGATGTAGTGAACATTTAAATAATTAAGGTAGAGCTAGAGTAAGAGTAAAGGACAAACTCAGATCTCAAATAACAACTTCAATTACTGTCTCAGAGTAAGGATTAAAATTAAGCAAACCTCGCTATGTGCCGTCATAATCTACTTCAGACAACTATGAAACTTGAGGAGGAAGTTAGAAGGGTGTTTGCAATTGAAAAAATGCGGCTAGAAGATCTTACTGAAATTGAAAACCTCAAGAAAAGACTTCAAACCAGCTAATAGTTATAGTATTAATGAAAAGTAAATGATTCTTAAATTTGACATCAACTATATCTGAAAGGGGTTTTGGGGTTTTGGGG